AATGTTGGACAGGAAAAGGGAGATGCTTTTTCACCCATAGGGTTGTGAACTCGTGGAACCGCCTACCCGCCAAAGCCGTAAACGCCAAAACCCTGCTGGGTTTAAAAATACAGCTGGAAAAGATCACCAGGGCAAATGGTGGGGACCTTTGACAAGCCGCCGGCTTACTGCCCTCATCGAGGTCACTAGTGTTAGTGGCCCTCAGGTAAATTCAGTTCCTCAGTGTCCCCGCTCCTTCCGGTTGGGAAGTTGGTCATATATTACAATGTACACAGGACTGTCGCTTGTCACTAAACTTAGTTTTTAAACTATTAACTTGATGAAATAATATTACCTTATATGCGAGAATAATTCTGAATACGCAGAACGATAAAATTAACGAATGCGGCTTTGGGTCGGGCGATCACGTAAGCGAGCCTGGCCTGAGAACAGGCAACTGTAAATGCTTCTCCCTCCACATACTTCAAGTGCAAATAATTGCCAACAGAACCTAAATACCGAACCTACTATACGCCTAATTAAACATAGAATATAAAATTAATTTATACACGATAAAAACTATATTTAATACACAGTACATTTAAGTCGATAATAAATGCGTCTTGGGAGGAGGGGGGTGGTCGACCGCCGCGTTAACGAGCCAAGCCTGAAGACGTGGTGGTTTAACACTCTGGGGGAAGTGTATTCTATATAATATCCTACTCATATAATGTTGGCAAATCGTGATCAACAAAATCTTCCACAATATCCGAGAGAGGACGGACTACTTAGCATTAGTGGAATACAAACATTTGAATACTACACAACCCGGATGAAACAAACAATACGGAAACAATGACCCTCGGAGACATTAAAAAAAACTCAATGTTACAATAGCGAACAAATGTATAATGCATTAAGCATTGTAGGTGGAGGTAGACTAGATATTCATGCGTACCTCCCAACTGCTCAGATAGCAAAAATAATTGATCAGCCTTACCTACACGGGAACGACGATGCTTACACCGCCGCTGCCTCCTGACGACTGACGGGGTCGTCGTCGATGAACCAGGGTTGCCAGATCCAAATTGCGGAAAGTAGCGAGCTGACGGCCAAAAAGAAGCGAATTTGTAATAAGAGTAGCCCAATTTTTTTTTAGTAAATGATATGGGTTTCAAAGTAATATATTTAATGCCCGAAACGCTTTGCGTAATAGTGGCTTTAGGCATTGTATGTACTAGCTCTACCTATAAGTCAAACAATCCTTGTAAATATTTATTGTATGTATGTACCTTACCTAAATAAAATTGTATTGTATTGTATTGTATTTTGATACATAGAGTACACTACACAATGTCAATTGTTTTATTAATATTATTTCTGCACATACACACACACACACATTATATATATATATATATATATATATATATATATATATATATATATATATATATATATATATATATATATATATATATATATCGTACCTAGTAGCCAGAACGCACTTGTCAGCCTACTATGCAAGGCCAGATTTGCCTAATAAGCCAATTTTTCCTGAATTAATATATTTTCTCTATTTTTTTTCTTATGAAATGATAAAGCTACCCATTTCATTACGTATGAGGTCAAATTTTTTTATTGGAGTTAAAATTAACGTAGATATATGACCGAACCTAACCAACCCTACCTAACCTAACCTAACCTATCTCTATAGGTTAGGTTAGGTAGCCGAAAAAGTTAGGTAGGTTAGGTCGTCGAAAAACAATTAGTTCATGAAAACTTGGCTTATTAGGCAAATCGGGCCTTGCATAGTAGGCTGAGAAGTGCGTTCTGGCTACTAGGTACGACATATATATATATATATATATATATATATATATATATATATATATATATATATATATATATATATATATATATATATATATATATATATATATATATTGATTTTTTGCCGCCAAAGGTGGATAGTTCATTAAGCATCCCCTGTTCAACCAGTGAGTGCTGGTTTATTGTGCACCCCGAACCCCGACCAGTTGTGTATGCGGACCCCGACCAGTTGTGTAACTGCAAGCCTAGCATGAACGAACCGACAATAAACACACTTGAACTTGAAGTGGACTTTAATGTTTTTTCGGCAGCTTTATTTCCTTAGTTTCCGAGCTGTTTTCTTTACCGTGTATGTTGTAATGAACTATTCCTATATTTACAGTTGTTTCTCCCTGTGAAGATTATTAAACAATGGTGATTATAAGGGCGCGGAAGTTCAGCCTGGCCATCAGGGCCGCCAGCAGCCCTTGGGCCCGCCCCGGCAGCTCCCAGTCTTTAATTTGGCACCTTTGTGGCACCTTTGTGGCACCTTGGTATAAGCCTAACATGTATATATACACACTGGATGCCTGTCCCCCTACACAATGATTTATTATTACCTATTATTTTATCGTTTAATTTAAATATTAAATAAAATAATTTATTTAATTATTATAGTAAGTACTTAATAATTTAATAATAAGTAGTAAGTACATAAAAATAATTAAAAAGTACAGTTTAGTCATAGGAGATTCCTAGATTGGAATTCACTACCAAATTTCAATATATCCAAGTATTTTTAGTGTGAAATCCTGTTATTATATGCATAAATTGTTGTTTTAATAATATTACGCTTAGCCACTTTGGCTGGACGGTAGAGCGACGGTCTCGTTTCCTACAGGCCCGCGTTCAATCCCCGACCGCCCAAGAGGTTGGGCACCATTCATTGCCACCGTCCCATCCCAAATCCGTATCCTGATCCCTTCCGAGTGCTATATAGTCGTAATGGCTTGGCGCTTTCACTTGATAGTTCCCCCACCCCCCTGAATAATATTACGAGAGCAGTATTTACGGGCTATTCATGCCCGTGCCACCTCTTGGGTGGCTTAATCTTCATCAATCGAGAGCAGTACGTCCTAACCAGACATTATACGATGATATCCTGAACAGTTGATAAATAAAAGTAATTGCGTAACTCCAGTTATCTAATACTTATCATAAATGGTATAAAACCTTATCATAAGCCAAGGGATTTGTAGATCAGTGTTTAAAGGGAATTCGGAAGTAATTCCTTTTACAGCTGATGCCATCTGTCGGCAGAAGAGAACACTATCAACTTGCTGGTCAATAGTGGCCATAAGATACAGCTTACGCCATCTGTTGACATCAAATTACACTTATAACAAATTACCCCACAAAATACAACTAACGCCATCTAGTTTTTTTCCAACGCACTATAAATAGCCAAACAGCAACCCATAAGGTGGGTTGTTGGGCTCGGGTAGGAGGTTCCAAGCTCCGCCCACAGATGGTATGGGGTGCACAAATAAATGTTTGTTGACATTCACACAACAGCCAATCACAGGAAGGGATCAGCTAAAGGTTCCATCCACTTAATATAATAAATAATCTTTATTCAGCACACCATCCTTGCTTATAACATTCTGCTTCAACTTTAATCTACCTAAAAAGTGAAATGTTAAGTATTTAAAAGTATTAATATAGTGATAATTAAATACTACAGGATGTAACGGGTGTTACAGAAACATGGGCTGGCTACCTAACTCGGGACGTTATTATTGGGGGTTGCCTTGACACAAATAATGATACGCTGCTCTGCCCTCTTATTCGAGTAAATTATTCAGTTAGATGGAGATTTCTGTCAGGTGCAAAACAAAAATTGTTGTTCTTTTTCACAACAACCTTGTTGTTGTGCACAAGAACCTATTTCTTAGTTTAAATTTTATTCATAAAAGAGTGTTGGTATTCCCCGCAACAGCCAATCACAGGAAGGTATTTCTGGAAGCTCGGCCTCCTTATGGACTCAGCACATCGCTCTAGCTCATGGCTCTCTGTTTCATCTCTTGTATATACAAACTATGACTTTTCGATTACTGTTATAATTAATAATATGAGATATAAAAGTTTTTACACAAAATGGCTAAATTCTGCCATTAAATGGACTTTGTCTGGTATCTTGGTTATCTTGAGATGATTTCGGGGCTTTTTAGTGTCCCCGCGGCCCGGTCTTCGACCAGGCCTCCACCCCCAGGAAGCAGCCCGTGACAGCTGACTAACACCCAGGTACCTATTTTACTGCTAGGTAACTGGAGCATAGGGTGAAAGAAACTCTGCACAATGTTTTTCGCCAGCGCCTGGGATCGAACCCAGGATCACAAGTCCAGCGTGCTGTCCTCTCGGCTGACCGGCTCCAGAAGTCTCATACATACACCAATTTATTACCATTCATCCATTATTAATTTCAAATGTAATGTATACTGTCTAGTTTTTTTCCTCTCGCCATTACTTGGTGCAATATTTGAAAGTTGTTTATTTATTTATCGATCTATCTATTACCTTGTATTTATATTTACAAGTTTCTGTGCTTGGAAGAAAACTCTGCGTTGAATTGAGACTAATTTATTAAATAATATTATTTAGTATTAATTAATATTTACATTTATTATTAATTACAATTATTTATAGCTTAGTTACTTTCATGTAACTCGCAATCGTACATTCTTAACATCAATAGCCCAAATTAGCACATCTTGCTTTTAAATTAGCCCAAAAAAGTAGCAAGGAGCAAAATTAAAAATTTGGGAGCGCGAGGCTCTCAAAATTAGCCCAAATCGCTACTTGTAGCCCAATCTGGCAACCCTGATGGGAGGTGTGAAGCCATTCTTGTAACTCACTTCTGGTACATTCTTTAACAGATAGTAAATTATTACATATCACGCACGTACAATAAATCAATTGATCAATAAATTGACATATTATTTATTATATGTATAAAAAGTATTTATAATAAACTTTGTATGAATCCAGCTTGAATAGTTTATAAATTAAAATCAATAACAAATATTAAAAGAACGTTGAATAATGCAACCCGGGTTACTGATCACGAACGTCAACACCGCTGAGGGACATGCCTGCTGCTTGCCTCTGCTCAGGTAGGGGGTCCGGGGATACCGTAAAGAATATATTCTCGTCGAGAAGGGGAAAACCTTTATTAAAATCGACGTATCAAACTGCAGGCTCAACTGGAATTTTTGTGTAGATTATTTAGTAAATAAATGCTGTATTTTGCATTTATGTACAATATATTTTTTTCCTATTAGGTGAGCTGACAGTCATTAATTGTACATTATTCGCTGATTAACAGTAAATTAGACATGCTATGGCTATGGCTCTTAGGTGTATGCTTTGGCAAGCGAAAATACTTTACAAATCTCTAGTGTACCCCAACTTAAACCACTCTCCAAGCATGGAGACCTCATCTTCAGATGGACAAGAACTAAGTTTTTGACTCAAATCAGGAATGATTGAGGGCCACAGGAGTAACAACACTGCATATCAGACATGACAGGGCTGATATAACTGAAACGTTTGAAATACTGAACAATTTAGATGATATTTAGTAATTTGTTTTGTCGGTGACTGGCAGCCTGTGTATATGTGTACAACAGAAGACACCATCACAGTAAAAGGAGAGAACTGTGTGGCAGGATGTTACCTGTGATGTCCCACAAGGGTGAAGCTGCGGCTAATCCTACCTGCGTGATACCTGCTTGAAGGGGTTCTGGGAGTTGTTCTACTCCCAAAGCCTGGCCCAAGGCCAGGCTTGATTTGTGAGAGGTTGGTCCAACAGGCTGTTGCTTGGAGCGGCCCACAGGCCAACATTTCTAATCTACGTGAAAGACCTACCAGATTGATCTACCAGACCTACCAGAATAGTGCCTGCAGGCCCTATTTCTAACCTATGTGAAATACCTACTAGAGATCCACCAGCACTTGTACAACATACATAAACAGCTCCAAGTTGGGTGGATGTTTAGGGACGAGTGAATGGTTTGGTGGATGTTCCTTCAGGTTTCATCTCCTGACTCATAAATTGGTTTATTCTGCTGAATTGTATGCTATAGATTATGAACTAATGTCAACCCATGGCAGATTGGTCATCTTTACTTGCTGTACAGTTCATAGTCACTGACACAAATGAAATACTAGTCAATATTTGTAATAAATTCAATATTTAGCAATAAAACCATCATATTGATCTGGGTTCCTCAAAACATCAAAACATGCATGTTAATTGATTGTCTTTCTTAAAGTACAATAGTTAACTATTATCATGTAGTTAGGCCATAATTGTGAATACTGTATTTAGTTTATATATTATGTGTACTGTATATTGGTACTGTACATGAAAGTATAAAGTTTGTATACATTTCATGAGTTTGTATGTCTAATGACTTTCCATAGTTCAGTGGCCATTGAACCCAACATTTGATGATTCGTGACTCCTAGTTCAACGTAAGTGCTGAATCTATGTCTAGGTCAGACTCCACATGCGAGTTGCTAGAATCTGTGTTGAGATTTTTCCCTGTTAGGTTGAGATTTGTTAGGCATCATTCTTCACCTTCATGTGGGGGGTAGAAATAGCCTAAGCTACTCTATCCCTTTGAGATGTATTTCTTTCTTATCTCAATAAACATACTTGAACTTGAACTTCACCAACCCAACTTGTTTTGGTGCCTTCTTAGTTTTCTCTTCTATGGCTGACTGGAAGTCGTAGTGTTTATTTTGCTTTGCCAGACTTGAGTTATTTTAGTTTCTAAAAAGCAAGAATCTTGTTTGCCTACACTGGGTTCAGGAGGCTATCTCATATACTGTATATATTGTCTGGGTCCCTAGGGGCCGGTAGATCGTCTTCTGGTCCATCCTCAGTGTGAGGTGGCAACCAGTGCCGGCTCCCTCCAAATAGCCAGGAGCCATCAGAAATTTGTCACTTGATACATTCCACAATGGCATAGTTTTTCTTTCTCCAGCAATGGAATGGAGACTACAATATGTTGTTACAGAACACATTAAAAGAACATCTAGAATAATATAGAGAATAATAAGAATAATATATGTATATATATTAAATGGCCCAGTGCCATTGTAACCTCTTATCACAACATATATGAGTAGGGTTTAAAACCTTGTGATGTCTTCTGTGGACTTACAACTAGAATACAGTACAGTACAATCACCCACATTTACTACCAACAGTTAGCAAACTGGGGATATTTAGCTAAAATTTCTGGTTATGAGAAATACTTAATACTGTACTTATCATTTTGAATTAAATATTTACACATTTTTTGTACATTTGTTATAGAGTTGTCTCTGAGTTCACGTATCTTTTCACACTCGATCACATGGTTACGGAGGGTGTGCAAATAATTTTGACCGCAATTTACATTTTGTCAGATCTACATCAGCAGGTAATGAAAATTCAAAAAGATAATTATAGCAGAGTCTAAGCCGATCAGTAGTAACATTTATGAGACTGCTGATTTTATTGGATAATCCATAGATGCGTGGCTCTTCTGGCATGATAGTATGATGATAGTTGGAATTATTAGTGATGACTTTACTTTGCCGTAGATCTACAAGGTTTTGTTGAAGTTCTTGGTGTATTATTTCTCTGAGACTAATTAAGGCTACATTATTCATCTACCTAGAAATAGAACAACTCCTGACTTATATAACAGCTGGACTTTACAGGGAAGTTCATAGATATTACTTTTTTCAAGTTTTTTCTTTGGGCAGGGATGGTATGGTGTTGTCTTGGCTGACAATCAATGGATCTTTGCTGCAAGGGCACAGTTTTTCTGCCACAAGGGTCATTTTTGCCCAAATTTATAAATACTGCATTAACAGAAACTGGAAGTACTGTATTCATAGTTATTTAACAGCCTCACCACTTTAACCTAAATAATAAATACAGTACTTCTATTTCCAAATTAATTCGTTCAACAACTTGCCAAAATTATTTCAGTATGCTCTCCTCAATCTTGCTGTATATTGATATTTGCATTCCACATCTCTCTTGTTCTCATATTTGCATATTGAATGATGTCAAGGACATTTTGGCTGTGGTGCTCCACATTTCACTGTACAGTACTCTATTTCCTTACTTTATCTTGTCTCCTAATGTCAATAATTACTTACTCTCTCCACATCTCTTTATTGCATTTGCAGTCTTTACTTTATCTGTTCTCCCAACACCACACATGCTTCTTAGCTTGTTCATTTCTACTGCTTTAACTCTTGATTTTTCACGTCCATACCACACCATATTGCAACCATACTACCATTCCTAAATGCACAGCCTCCCAGGCTTGGTGTCTTCTTTTGATAAATACTCCTTCATGCAGACTTTTTGCTGTCTATTGAAGATCAAAGGTGTTGGAGAAAAAGTGGTAATCCATTCCACAAGATTACTATGGAATGGAAGATAGGAGGAAGTGAAGCTTGGTATTAAATACTTAATTGGCAAAGGACACAGTTGAGCTAACTATAAGAACCTACTGCAGTGTAATTTGCAAGTTCCTCAGAGTAAGGTAAAGATTCTTTTGGCAATGTACTGTCCAAAAAAGCAAACTGACTTAAGAAAAATAAGTCAAGGAAGTATTGTAGTAACTATATTACAATGGTTTATTACAGCTTATGGTATATTATATGAACCTTCCATAAGTATATCCTTTACATTTAATAATACAGTTATGTTTGTTTCCAGACACAATCTTTACTGTTCATTATAAAGATGGTCATGATCATTGGACTGGAGGGCAGTGCCAACAAGATCGGTGTAGGCATAGTGCAAGATGGAAAGGTGTTATCCAACCCTCGCCACACATACATCACACCACCTGGCCAGGGTTTCATTCCTCATGACACTGCAAAACATCACCAGGTAGGTAAATGATTTGTCTTGCGTTACTGGGATATATATGTATATATATAGTATGCCATTTTCCACTCCATGAAAGTGGGATATAGGGTAATACAGTAATTGTTTATTAGGGGCCAACATGAACTAACATTGAACTAAAATCAAAGCAGTCCTCGTGGCACAGTTGTAAAACACTTGCTCGGTGCACAGCAAGTGCTTTAACCTGGGTTGTTAAACACTTCTGCAGGTCGTATTCCGGGGAAAATTAGGATTAAGGACTTGCCCGAAATACTATGCGTGCTAGTGGCTGTACAAGAATGTAAGAACTCTTCTACAGTATATATAAATAAATAAATAAAACATCTTTAATCACATTACATAAAAATAAAGTAACCTGAAGAAGGACTTTTAACACATGGAAAGGAGCCTATTTTTATCTCTAACCACTTTGCAGTGAGTCTGGTGCTACAGTGCTTTTTGCTCCACATGCAGCACCTACCAATCTTTACCTCTTTAATTTGTAAATGTAAATTTGTTTTAATTCATGTTGTGTTCCAACTTCAGTTTATATTTTTAGAACCCTATTTACTCGGCCTTGTTAAACCATTTCATCCAGCATAATAAAATCATCTTGATAGATTATCATACCCGTGTAAAAAATACTATAAGGCACTTATTTAATACTGCATTTTATAACTCAAATATTTACCTCTAGTTATGTCCCCATTTTAATGTGTACTAATGAGACATTGTTGATCACAGGCTCATGTGTTGGAAGTTCTGAACCAAGCACTTGCAGAGGCATGTGTTGACCCTCAAGATGTTGATGCCATTGCTTTCACAAAAGGCCCTGGGATGGCTGCACCACTAATTAGTGTTGCAGTGGTGGCCAGAACCATTTCCCAGCTTTGGAACAAACCCCTTGTTGCTGTTAATCACTGCATTGGACACATTGAAATGGGGAGGCTTGTCACAGGGGCAGAAAATCCAACTGTACTCTATGTAAGTGGAGGCAACACACAAATTATTGCCTATTTAGAAAAGAGATACAGAATTTTTGGAGAAACTATTGACCTTGCAGTTGGAAACTGTTTGGACAGATTTGCAAGGATCCTGATGCTTTCAAATGACCCAAGTCCAGGTTATAATATAGAACAAATGGCAAAGAAAGGTAAAAAGTTCCTTCCTCTTCCATACTGTGTAAAGGGTATGGATGTCTCCTTTTCTGGCATCCTCTCATACCTAGAGGAGCGTGCAAATAAACTACTGAAGACCAAACAATACACTAAAGAGGATCTGTGCTTTTCCCTGCAAGAAACAGTCTTTGCCATGCTGGTAGAGACTACAGAACGAGCCATGGCTCACTGTGGATCCCAGGAAGTTCTCATTTGTGGAGGCGTTGGCTGCAATTTAAGGCTTCAGGAGATGATGAACAAGATGTGTGAAGAAAGGGAAGCAAAGCTGTATGCAACAGATGAGAGTTTCTGTATAGATAATGGAGCAATGATTGCCCAAGCTGGATATCTCATGTATAATTCTGGGATTACAACACCACTTATGGATACTTGGGTTACTCAGAGATTCAGGACAGATGATGTTCCTGTAACATGGAGAGAATAAATTGCCATGATTTATATTTTTTTTTACATACTGCTGTACTGCATGTAATAAACTATTTGACATTTGTATTGAAAACCCAAATATGTGTACAATATACAGTACAAAAAAAATACTTAATTTTCTTTACCTAGATGTATTATAAAAAAATACTGTAATTGTTTGCTTTTGCTATCATTAGTTCAGTGTAAAAGTGTGTATTGATAGAGCTAGTTCAAAATACTCTTTATTATCTGGAGCAGAAAACCCACCTGCCGTGTGGGCATCATTCAGGATGCCAATATAAGAGCAGAAACACAAAAGACAAGTAATGTCAAAGGAGTCTGATTCACCTAGGATTGTATCAACTCAAAAGAACAGTGGGAAAGCAAAATTTCCGATCCTGAAAATCAGGACATTCTACGAGGAGGTGACGAGGATAGTGGAGTTTTGACAAGTCAGGTCTCTCATCAAGTGCAATGAATTACTGTGGCCAACATACAGTCTAAGCAAGTCAGAGGTTATCCCCCCTACCGTTATGATGACTTTTGAATCAAATACAAAATGTAGCGAAGAGAGGTTTAAAATACCTTAGTACGTTCCTAAATCACTTTGGAGAAAGTTTACCAACCCAGACAATGCTTCAAATGCTTCTGATATGATCACATTGCAAGTAACTGCACTGAACATGAAGCCCAATGTAGCATATGCTCAGGGACACTTAACTACAAGAACTGCACTAGCAAGAAGTAGTAGTGCACCCAGTGTGGGGAACAGTACATTACCATTTCCCACCTCTGCTCCAAGAGGAAGGAGAAAATCCCAAAACTGAATTCTGCAAAATCCAATGGTGTGCATCCAACAACCAGTAGTGACTCCAATTGATCTCGGCCCAGAATAATTTCCCAGGTCTACTGATGTAAGATACTTCCACCCAGCAACTGCATGGACAGGGAAAAATCTCCAACACTGGGAAAAGAACTCTCCAATGCCAGTGACAACAGACTACCGTCAACATACACATCCAGGTGAGCCTCGCCTATGCGGATAGGGTCGCCAAGCAGGACCACATCCTGTTTCTAAGCAAAGTCAACAAGTTCCTGATAAGCAACAATATCATACCAATAATTCTACCAGTGAGAGTATAGTACTTGAGAATGCTGCTACCCAGATGGAATTACCACAAGAAACAAGGGAAAAACATAGCCACTCAAGACAGAAACACCACCAACTCCTGCAACCTCTACAGTCACAGCTCCAAAATGGACAACACACACATCACGGTGAGAGCAGCAACACTTGCAACACAAGGATAGTGTTGATGTGATGATGTCTGATGATGTGTACTCTTGTGAAAAACACATGTCATCAGATACGGCCGTAGATGCTGAGAATATCTCTGACAACGCCTTGGCCTCCACAACACCACAAACCCAAGAATTAGCAATGCCACGTAAAATAATACTCTCCAGGTAACCAGGTCAATCTGAGGCTTTACCAGACTTTCTGGACACAATAGACTGTATACTCACCACCCACATCATAGGTCGGCCAAACATCGTCGCAATTCTACGAGAATGGTTATCAGGTCTCATCGAGCAGTACACACCACCACGTACAACGGTTGATGCAACTGCACTGGCACAGTCGCCTGAGGGCAACAATGTACAGACACGAAGCCAAATCATCAACAAGATGAACAATAAAAGGTAAAACCCTGAAGCCACTAGAAAACAATGCAGTCAAAATGATAAAAAAAAAGGGGAGGGTCATGGACTTCTGGCTGCTACCTCTGTGCTTTCCTGTGGTGGTATTGCCATCGGCTCAACAGCCTCGATTATACTGGGTTAAGGCCTGGCTGTACAGTACTCTGTTCGACTGCAATGCTTCCTCTCCAGACTCACCACTAAAGAATAGTACACACCAACTAGACGAGTACCTGTACATTTCTTCAACTGCTCACACTGCCGCTTGCTCACAGAGTACTTGCCCAGTACGTACGCATGTATGCAGTATATGAGAAAATTGGTAAAAGTAAACGTGGACAATAAGGAGTAAATGAAATCCTAGATGTGGTTGACCAGTTTAAATACCTGGGCTCTGTAAGCTTGATACGAAGAATTTGCAAAGTTCATAGAGCACGGCACCGCTCCTGTACCAGGCAAGTCCACTAAAGGCTCCCCATTGAGCCCATAGAATTTTGCTATTTGCCCCGCTCCTGTGCCAGGCAAGTTACGGGTTCACCATAGCCCGTGCTACTTGGAACTTGTTCCGAGTAGCTGAATCTATATCATCATCATCATAGAGTAAGTCACCTAAGAAATGTTCAGAAAGACAAGACCAGAGGGCTGTATTGAAATGACGCAATTTTTACCCTGACTTGCAGATTTGACTGCTGTAGCATGAAAAAATCTAAGAGAAGGGTAAAAATAGATATCTATGATGTATTTCTGCTGTTAGATTGACACAATAAAGAACAGAATGTCATGGAAAGATGGAAGCAAGCAATTATCAATATAATACACCAAGCAAGGGAGTCTATGTACCATGAAGAGATGGAAATACAGTAAAAATAAAGAGTATCGAGATGTCATTGAATGAACAAGTTGTGAAGTCTGTATTTGAGGTCAAGACAGAAAGGCCAATAAGGTTATGAGGAAATGGTGAATGTTTAGGTGGGCTAATTTCTATAGATAATGTACTCCATTTTCCTCTGGGGTGATGCCACGCTCGTCATAAATTTAAAATTTGCCATAATGATGCCTGCATACCAGTAAGCACAATCTGAGGACTTTTATTACCCCCAGTAATTCAAAATTTCAGCAAAAGCAGGTGGTTTGCACTCTACTTCTAACATGGCAAACTTTCTCTTCATTGAGGCTCTTACTATACACCACTACTTCAACCGAGGTACTAGTGCCTAATACAGTATCTGCATAACGTCTCATTCAAAAAGGTTTAGTTACCTATCATCTGTCTGGCATCGAGTAACTATAGTGTATACTTTAAAGGTACAGCGTATCAATTTAATTGATCATAACTAAATGAGCATCTTTCATACATTAGTGTAAAAAGTCCTTGCCTATTCTGAGCTAATTTCTTTTCCTTAGCTTGATACTTCTACCAAACATTTTTATTGTCCACTACACACTTATGCTAATATCTATTTTGTACTATAGTACATATAAATATTATAAAAAGAGGGAAATCATACAACACTGAAAACAGAGGGTTTATTTATAGACCTCTAATAAAAGCTGCTGGTATTCATGTATACAAAAAAATGAAAACAAAGGACATGTTTGAAGAAACATTGAGGAGTAGGAGAAGTTATATAATTTTGTTGACTAATAAAGCCATATGTTTAAATGAGAAAGACACTGGATTAATGTTATTTTGATCAATATATTTTATAAATTGAACACTAATACAGAACATGTAAACCAATAAATAAGGCACACTTAACTTACAAAGGAATAGTGTAACAAGAAAATCAGAACACTATGTATTTTACAAACTTCATTAACAGTTTGTGAATTGCTGTATTTTCTATATGATAAGACTTTTCTGAACTAAGATATCAAAATGCATTATCACATTTAAAAGTAAAGTACATTAATTTCCATTTACCGACACTATACGTGCTAAGAACTGCCCTCGAATATTATACATGCATAAATGTATAAGCAATGGACAGATGGATGAAATTCAAATTGTGACAAATACACACAGATAATGCATATATTTTTTTAATTTCAGCTGGATTCATCACTGCTATACTAGTCAATAAATTAAATCTTTTCTATCACTCAATATCCTGATTCAAATGAACTTGTATATATATTTTTTTAACTAGTCAACATAAGAAGAAAATAATTCCATTACTGTCATCTTACCGACATGAACATAGCATAGACTTCAAATAATTATATACGAGACAAACTTCATTGTGTAATAGGTAAAAGGGGACATTACATACAATGTCATATCTAAATCACTTAGTTGCATCCCATTCCAAGTAATCCATTCATTTCCATGAATATTCAGATATTCAATGACTATACAATCACTATAGTCTTCACATTTCTTCACTAAGGCTGAGGATGTGTATAATCAAGTGTCCAGAACGGCTATGAATGCTCTTACTTCTCTTCACACCACTCATTCTCCTTGCGGACCTGTTCTTCTTCAGAGGGCGTAAAATCGTTCTTGATGTTGAAGGTTTTACGAATTTCATCAGGTGTCTTGCCCTTGATCATGTTGGCAACAGTCTTGCATGTAACATCAAGAAGGCCTTTGATATCCAAGTAGTTGGCTGCCAAGATCAATTCAAACAAAGTACCTTGATCAACCTACAAAAGTAATAAAGTATTAATTTCATACCTCTCATACCTGGACAAATTTAATTTCATTATAACTGGGATAGATATTCCCAGTTTCATTGCCAAGCATATTTTAGTACATATAATACACACATATTATACATCTATAAACACACATGTATTTTATACATATAATAGCCGGAACTGCACTACTTGGCCTAATATGCAAGGCGTAATATGCTTAAGCAGTAATTTGTTATTTTCAAATATTCCTTTCCAAATTGGAAAGGAATATTGCAACATATCTTTCTTAACATATTATATTAGGAAAATGAATTACTGACTTAGGTTAGATTTGATCAAATTTCTATGTTCAATCAATAAGCCAAGTTGCCTAACAAGCTGGATTTTCCTGAAATAATGTCTTCAAAACTTTTCTTATGGAATGATAAAAGTTTTGCATTGCATTATACAATACTGAACATATGATTTTTTTCTTAATTAGAATCAAAACTAACAAATTTCATCAAACTTAACCTAACCTAAATTAGTTTGGGTGTAGAGGGCAAAACACATGTGTAATCAATTGTGTAGGTTGAATGAAATTACTGAGGGAGGTGGGAAAGGGTTTTGTTGGTAGATAAGGAAAAGGGGAATGTGGTAATAGTGATTGTGTGAAGCTAAGGGTGCTGATGGGCAGGTGATGTATTTGGCAGTGGAAGCAGCCAGTGATAAAATACTGGGCTCGACTCAATTTACAAAATTATGTTGGAACCTAGAAAAAATATACTATATGAAAATAATAGTTGCCTTTACACTATTTACAATCTCCAGACACCAAAATGAGTATTTCCAAATTTAAAATTCTATCGGCATGCTACAAACACCCGTGTTACCTTGCACATTAATATCAGATCTTGACACTTATGAGCCACTATACATTGGGGTAAGTGGTGCTTGAATCTGGTCCCACTAGATGCTAGTCTCTGGACACCCATAGGGTCAAACATCTGGGAACCTGGTATACAATTCTATGAATGTTGCTCAATACATGAAATTCCCTTACAAGTGGGCAATGTGTTCTGCCATCTGGAGACTGGACCCAGGATACAAGAACATACCCTGCAAACAAAATGTAACTGGCCCTATTTTTCCCTTGTTACAACTTGTAATAAAGTTGTTACATCTTGGAATAACGTTTTTATGAAGTATAAGAACGTTACAACTTGCTTTAACAACAGTTGTTACAACTTGTTAGAAGGTGTTAAACCTTGTTCAAACATTGCAGCAGCATCGTAGTTTCGTTTTGTGTTTGACGGGTATAGGATACATCACATTTTTCTTATTCATATCCTGTTTTGCAATTATTCAATAACTTTTGCATTATACCATGGTCATCAATAACTAGTGTCTGGAGACAGGTAACTCTACCCTACCTGGGACAATTGTCTTGTCTGATGGTATTGGTCTTTGTTGACCAAAAGAATAAATATGGATATGCTTATCAAGTATTGCCAGATGCTAAAATCTGGCAATATTCAAAATTCAACAATTATTGTCCCAAGGGTTTTGGATTACTGAGAACACTGTACAAGTTATCATTTTCCTTTTGTGGTTAACTATATTATAAATAACTTGTATAATACCTTCAAAAAATCTGCATCCCAAGATGAGATGTCATCGGTCCTCTTTTCCTTGTTGTCGTCATCATCAGGAAGAGGTGGGTCATCTTTGTGATACGTGCACCACTGAATTACCTTCTTGAGAATCGCTGCATTTACATTTGGAAGGGGCACCACCTCCTCTTCATCCTCATCCATTCCTGCAACACCAAGGAGATTTTAACACAAGGCATTCTTTTCAGAACGTACAGTATATAAATAAAAAAATTATATTGCCTAAATTCAACTTTTTGCTTCAGTGCACCCCTGTGGTAGTTAATTCAGACATCAAGGTTTAGGTTTATATACTTACCCAAGTCCTCCAACATAGTTTTTATGGTGACACTCTGCTTGGCAATTTCTACGTCCACCTCAAAGGTGTCGCCATCACTGCTCTGAAGCTTAATGCTAGGCATCTGAAAAAGATATAATTCTTTAGACATATTCCAGTGTAAAATCAAAGAATTATGCGCGTTTCTATAAAAATGCAGACATATTACAAATTATAATAACAATGTGTGTTGTTAATTGTGAACTCAGAAAAACTACATATTAGCCCTCAGAGAGACCAACTGTTTCAAGCCAGATACACTTGTGTACTTTGTGCATTTGTTTGGTCAATCAGAAAATATTCATTTGGCCTTGTTTTTGTAACATAAAAGTAATTATATATATCACACCATAAGTCCCAAGAAAGTCAGTGGTAAGGTTCATCCTAAGAAAATAGTTTTGAGTAGAGGCGGCCTCTTCCTCGTTACAAAAACGTGTGAAGTATGGGAAGAACGGCAAAGTTTTGTTGAAAAAACTCACCCATATAAGCTGTAGCAGGCCGTTGCATTGACCTTTTTAATGACAATGTGATGTCTCACTACAGACAAGTGAGAAAATGAAGGGGGAAAAAAACAAGTGTCCTTAGACAGATTCTTAGTAAGACAAGCAAGCAGTGAGCCACAACCAAATCCTAATGGCATGTCTGCAAAATGTAGGAGAGAGAGAGTACCCCAGAAATGTCATCACTGCCTGCTGTAATAATGGATGGGGACTCCTCTTCCAAATACTAACACCTCTCCTTCCCCCCTCCCCCCTCCTCACTGTCTTCCATATGCCAACAAGTCATCAATAAAGGTAAGCTATAACTTGTACATACAGTACTATAGTACAAAATGTGTGTGTATATTATGTATGAAATGTGTTTTGTAGTCAATATGTTTTTGAGTGTGGAACGGACAATTCATTTTACATTATTTCTTATTGGAAAATTCGTTTCGAGATACGACCCATTTCTGGGAACAGATTAAATTCGTAAATGGAGGCACCACTGTACATAGTAGCTGTTAGGTTACATTACGATAGGTTAAGTTTCACGGAATTTTGCTGCGGAGGTTAACCTTCAAAAATGAGTGTACAGCATTGATATTTTGGCTTCATTTTTGACTTGCAATTGCAAGGCGGGACAGAAAAGGTTGGGTACATTTCCTTTCACCTAGTGCCTCTGTTCTCCTAGCAGTAAATAGGTACCCAGGAATTAGGCAACTGTTGTGGGTTGCATCCTGGGGAAGGTCAATAGCTCGCCTTGAAGGGACCTCAATACAAGCCTATAATACAAATAAGAGTATACATACACAGGCCTCCTGTCCCTGACAATGGGAATTATTATTATAATATACTTCGTAAAATTTTATTACACAGTGTGTCAATGCATACATGAAAAAATACACAGTATAAATGACTTCTTGCAGTATCCTGAAGTATGCAGTATCCTGAAGTATGCAGTATCCTGCAAGATATCCTGCAGAATGCAGTATCCTGTACTCTATGTATTTAAATTCATCATTCCAGTACTAATAGAAAAATATAATTAATATATTTTCTCATAAATATTTTTCATAATTACTTCTCATCTGAACTTCAAATAAATACTGTTTAAACAGCAAGTTGTTCAGACACTGCAAATTTTAGTCACGTCATTGCGTTTATGGTTCACCAACCAATCATATGGTTCAAGACCTGCCTCAAATGATGGCCATCTGTAATCACTATTCTTTGAACTAAACCTAAAAACCTAAAATAACCCCTAACCTAAAAAAAAATAGAGAAATAGCATTTTATACATCGCACGAATAATGTCAATATCCCGGAGGTCATAGTTTAACATCTGAAGCGGTTTTAGATATAACTGGATCTATGACTCCAGCCAAACTTTCTCAAATTTAACCCATAATTATTACCTATCAAAGTTTTGATCCTATTTTTCATTTTTCCATTAACGTTTCATTAGCAAAGAATAGAAAAGCAACCAAAAATCACATTATTTAAGTTTAATGAATCTGACTGCCGCAAGTTTTATCTTAGAGTTACAAAGCAACAGAGGCACTGGCCGAAATGCTATGCGTTCAAGTGGCTTTACAGGAATGTAAAACCCTCATTGCTACGAACCCTCTTAATCCCAATGTACCCTCTTGTGTAGAAAAAAAATAAACATGTCAAAACCTTTGCTAACACCTTAACCAGTCATTGCTCGTTAACCAGTGCCCAGTCATTGCACTTGAAAATAATTTTGTGTCATTGTTAGACTTAACTGGCAGCATCCCTTGGATACTTGTATAGTGAAGTATACTCAGTCACATAGCATTTTGTTTTCCTCAATTCACCTTGACAGAGCAGTGAAAGAATTTATTTACACAAACGTATCAATTTAACCACCTGCAGTTATCTTATGATTCAGCCCCATCCTCCTATTTTGATAGTACATACAGCCAGAGATCTATACACACACATATACCCATAAACACACACACAAGACATACACAAGACACCACAAGTGTCGAAGAATTCCAGAGTCTTCACCTGAAATTCCAGAAACACAAAAATAGCCTCGAACCGTTCATCTCGGCCACCACCACCAGCATCCCCCCCCCACACACACCTCTCGTCGCCCTCATCTCCTGCTACAACACGCGTATATAACCTCTCCCACAACCTCCAGCATCATCTCCATCCCATATACAAGGTAGTGGTGTAGTTGTAGGGTGTATTATTACCTTGAGGGAGACGGTGAAGGTGTAGCCGTGGAGTGTATCGTGCGCCCGCTACCACACTGACACCTGGCGGCCGCTCCCTCAACCACTTCTACACACACACACATACATATACACACATATTCATACATGTACAATATATACATATATATTATTATTAATAAGATGTATTATTAAAATAGGAAAGTACGTAAGGAAATTCCTGTTTCAATTCTTCTTCCGTCGTCTGACACTGTCACATTTTTCATCACGTGTTAATTATTGTCATTTACACACACACACACACACACACACACATTCAAAATGTACAATATTTACATATATATTCCTTCTGAAGATTCCTATTATTAAATAGGAAAGTACGTAAGGAAATTTCTGTTTCAATTCTTCCTCCGTAGTCTGACACCGTCACATTTTTCATCACGTGTTAATTTTCGTGATTTACACACATACACTTATATATATATATATATATATATATATATATATATATATATATATATATATATATATATCTCAAACATCTCTACCTCCCGAAGGCACCAGATGAGTGAGGGGTCAGTCTGCAATTTTCGTCAAGCCACTGTCAATGTGAGAGAACTATATATATATATATATATATATTGTATCGATTATATTATATCAATAATAATTATATCTACCTTAATCTCGAAGGTGTGTGCGGGAACTCTCAAGCGTCTCAAGTTAACTCAACCACTGTTGAAATTATACTGAATGAGTATTCGATTGATGATTGATGAAGATGCCCGTGCCACCCAAGAGGTGGCACGGGCATGAATAGCCCGTAAGTGGTGGCCCTTTTGAGCCATTACCAGTATCAAGAGCTGATACTGGAGATCTGTGGAGGTGCAACTGCACCCTGCATGACGGGAGATGTCTCCCGTGAATGAGTATTCACTTTTCGGTTGCTTATATAATCAGTCTGAATATTGCCCACTGTAATATTCACCTTATAGTAAGGTCAATATTTCATATTGCCCACTGTACTGCAACAATAATACCAATCATGAGAATGAGATGAAATACAATGTTTTATACGAGCTACAGTATTTCCAAAAAAACAACGATAACCTCATTGTATACTAAGATCTATACTACTGAATATGTTGTATCTATTTGCCAGATTGCACTATTTGGCCTAGTATGCACAAGGTCCGATTTGCCTAACAAGCCGAGTTCTTTTAAAATTATATTTTTTTCTTATGAAATGATAAAGCTTTCTATTATATTTTATATGATTTTAGTTTTTTAATTTGAGTTAAAACTAAGGAAGACATATAACCAAACTTAACCAACCTACCTTGCCTAACCTTAGCTGGTACTAAGTATTAGGACCAGCTTATTATATATATATATATATATATATATATATATATATATATATATATATATATATATATATATATATATATATATATATATATATATATATGTATATATATGTTGGATAAAACTATGAGAGTTTGGAAGCTGAGATGAACAGACTGTCGGATCAATGTCGGAAGAGATTACAACCTCTGAAGGCCTTGGCATGCTGTGGAAAGGGAGTGGGAGTCCCTGTGCTACGAATGATATACTTGAGTACTGTAAGATCCCTTATTGATTATGCTGCACCTGTCATTTCTTGTTTTGGTAAAGGTAGGATGGGCAAGTTGGAGAAGGTACGAAATGAAGCCATGAGAATTATCTTAGGATGCCCAAGAAATGCTATGATTGAGATAATGAGGATGGAATTGAATATGAAGAGTATTGGGGATAGAATTTCAGAGATAAATGTAGCCTCTGCCATTAGATTAATGAGAGGTGGGGGAGCTAATGAATTAATCCTCTCAGTTCAAAAGGTGTGAAGTAATGAACAAAGTATGATAAAGTATATGAAGAGAACATATATAAATACCTTATGTTCTAATGTTATAAAGTATGATGTTATTCCAGAATCTATTGTCCTGCCTAAGAGACAATTCACACCAACATGGGAGGATTGTAACGTATTTGTAGTAATAATTCCTTGCAAAAGAAAAAAGTATGTACGAAATAGGAGAGCTGAGGGCAACATATGATTGTATAATTAGAAAACTGCCTACAGAAAACACTACATGTATATTGTGATGGGTCAGTAGCTAGGGATGGGAAGGCAGGATGTGGAGTCTTGATCAGGGAGTACACTGACATCGGCACTGTAGATACTGTTATTGGCCGCCGCTTAACTGACAATGTCTCTTCAACGCAGGCTGAACTCCAAGGTGTACCTACAGTTAGCAAACTGGGGATATTTGGATAAGATTTCTGGAAGCAGATCATTTTGAATGAAATATTTACACATCTCTTGAACATTTGTTAAAGAATTGTCTTTGAATTCACGTATCTTTCCGCACTCCATCACATAGTGACGGAGAGCGTGCGAATAATTTTACACAGGTGCAATAGCACGCTTCAATCACGCCACAGTCCTATGCTTACAAAAGTAAAACACATGTACATATTACGGGGTACTCATGCCCATGTCACCTCTTGGGTGGCTTAATCTTCATCAATCATCACTTGAACATAGACTCCTCATCACAATGGAAGACATAAGAGTAAGGGGAGACATGATCCCTACCTACAAAATTCCCAGAGGAATTGACAGGGTAGATAAAGATAAACTGTTTAACACGAGTGGTACGCGAACAAGGGGACACAGGTGAGGCTGAGTACCCAAATGAGCCATAGGGACGTTAGAAAGAACTTTTTCAGTGTCAAAGTAGTTAACAAATGGAATGGATTAGGCAGTGATGTGGTGGAGGCTGACTCCATACACAGTTACAAGTGTAGATATGATAGAGCCCAGTAGGCTCAGGAATCTGTATATCAGTTGATTGACAGATGAGAGACGGGACCAAAGAGCCAGAGCTCAACCCCCGCAAGCACAACTAGGTGAGGTGAGTACATTAAACACAATTTGCATTGTCTTAAATGCCCACCATATGCGGCTTATCATTAGTAGGAAGAGTCTCCTGGATTGACCGGTATATTTGCAGCAGGGAATTTGAGTCCAGCCAACGGGCTCACCATAGTCCGTGCTACTTAAGCGAATCTTAAACAACATTGAGTCCAGCTCAGATGAGGTTTGAGGCGCTGGCAAACCAATTATGCTAGGGAGACAACTCCTGGGGAAACACCATTCATGTTACATTGAATCAACGTTAATCCAAAGTTTGATATATGAGGAAATAAAGTAGATTCTTTAATTGTTCTAAATTTTCTCATTTGTATTTACCAGATTTTTACAATTTGTATTTCAAATTGATGGGCCAATGAAATAAAGGTAGGAGGTCCTGAGGTAGAACACCTTCCAGTATAGAGGGCACAAATAATAGGGTCTAAGACCTGAAAAAAGTTTGACCTGCCTACGTCACCGGTAAGCTCTAAATAAATATAACTTAGCCTAGCTCAATCTAACATAATCTAATCCAATCTAACTTATTTTAACATAATCTTATCTAACGTAACGAAAATATGAGGTACAATTTTGTGTTTTATAAAAAATGTGTATGAAGTGTGTGACGTCACTATGACGTCATAATTTTAATGCTGGCACAGGCTATGGATGCGTCTGCTACACGACGCTTTATGTAAATTTAATTATAGCCTATCGTTACTTTATACGACCATTCTTACTTTAAAATTGCTTAAATTTGATTTATGTCGTGTGTTAAGTTTGAAATGGAAATGTTTTAACATAGAAATAACAATTTCATAAAACTTTTCGTGAATAATTTTTGTTTGGCGCCACTGGCGTCCCTAATGAGGTTAACCGACGGGCGCCTTGCTAGTACCCACCTAGACGTCGTAGGGGGCAGTTCGCGCGTGTAGTGTGCTTATATTTCGTGTTGACACCTATAGAACGTTAGTAACAGTTAACACTCGTAAGTAGCAAACGTATGTGAAGTGTTAAATGTGTCTCAAAAGTAAAAAAAAATATTAGTTTAGAGGTTAAAATAAACGTTCAAATGAGTGGACGGAATCACGGACTCCTTCTGATCTATGATTTCTAGCACCATCGGAAAGTTTTCTAGGAAAGTTTTTCCTGAAGGGAAGGGAACTCTCAGGGGGAAAGCGCCAAGCCATTATGACTATATATATAACACTTGGAAGGGATCAGGATAAGGATTTGGGGTGGGACGGGGGGTAAGGAATGGTACCCAACCACTTGTGGACGGTCGGGGATTGAACGCCGACCTGCATGAAGCGAGACTTCCTGAAGTTTCTGAAACAGTCCTTTAAAGGAGCTCCAGCAAACAGCCATGGAGAAGGAGGAGGAGAAGCTCACCCACTCACACTCTCCCAACACCAAGCCTCGGAACTCACTCTTGCTGCAACTTCTGGTAAGTACTATGTATTGGTCTGTAGCTCTGCTGTAGCACAGGTAAGCGACAGAGGTCACGACCTCTCCGCAGGGTGCAGTCGCACCTCCACAGATCTCCAGTATCATCTATTGATACTGGTAATGGTTCCAAAGGGCCACCACTTACGGGCTATTCATGCCCGTGCCACCTCTTGGGTGGCTTAATCTTCATCAATCAATCAATCAGGTAAGCGGTTCACAATCAAAAGGTCCCCGGGGTTCGATTCCCGTGCAGTACGGATACTCTTTTTCTTTTTCTAAGACAAGTGGGTACAGGAATAGCGGACTGGTGACTCCTGGTAGCAGGCTGAGAGCTTTTTCATCCCATAGCTTATGGTAAGCCAGTTTCCCTGGAATACGACCCGCCAATCGTTTTATAACCAGGTACCCAGTCACTGCTGGGTCACCTTCTGTGGTGGATTGTTCAATAAACCTCTGAACTATATGTTTAACACATCTCTAACCCTGTCCATGGAGGACAGAAGAAAATGTATATATGCTGGTTAGCATTGTAAATGTGTGGCCACGTTTGTGGTAGAAATAATAATAATAATAATAATAATAATACTGCTGGGTGAGCAGTGGCGTACAGTTAAGGATTGGCGCCTAGTCAATCCATCCCGGCCAGGGATACGAACGTGAGCCAAATCGCTAGCGAAAACGCGGAGCGAGAGTGTTACCACTGCGCCACCAGCAACCAAGTTCCTTACATCTGATGCCTCTGTTCACCTAGCAGTAAATAGGTACTAGGTAGGTGGGGGGAAAATGTTGGGGGGTTGCATCCTAAGGATGGCCAGTAGTTGGCCTGGGGGATGGGGAGGGAAGGGGGAACCTTCGATGAAACAAATAGGCTTCCTGTTTCTGACAGTGGAAAACGAAGCCATTATTTAATACATTTAGGCCATAAATTTCATATTTATTTTGCCATTGAGCGCATCCCCACATCATGGTAACAAGACACCTGGTGTGGTTCTCAAGCTATATCTTGCTCTAGTTAGGCCCCATTTAGATTATGCAGTTCAGTTTTGGTCGCCATATTATAGAATGGATATAAATTCACTTGAACGTGTCCAGCGTAGGATGACTAAGTTAATTCCCCAAATTAGAAATCTTTCATATGAAGAAAGATTAACAAAGCTTAAGTTGCATTCACTGGAAAGGCGAAGAGTTAGGGGTGACATGATAGAGGTTTACAAGTGGATGAATGGACATAACCGGGGGGATTGGGTGGTTATAGAATAGGAGCTGCCTCGTATGGGCCACCATTGAGTCTTATGGTCTTATGGGAAAATATATTTCGATATTTGCATTTTTGTTGGGAAGGCTGTTGGCTAGAGGTTCCATTGGGGTTATTATGTATTGCTTTCACTGTGATAGTGAATAGTCTAATTGCACTTGGTGTCATTACAAATAGTGTGTTTAATTCACGTAGTGTACCTTACCTTGAGGTGCTTCCGGGGCTTGGCGTCCCCGCGGCCCGGTCGTCGACCAGGCCTCCTGGTTGCCGGACTGATCAACCAGGCTTTTGGACGCGGCTGCTCGCAGCCTGACGTATGAGTCACAGCCTGGTTGATCAGGTATCCTTTGGAGGTGTGTATGTTCTAAACTCAAAACATCGGGTTGTAGTCCTGTATATAGTCAGTCGTTGTCCTTGGTGATGGTGGTTGTTGTTGTTATAGATTCAGCTACTCGGAACAAGTTCCAAGTAGCACGGGCTATGGCGAGCCCGTAATTTACCTGGCACAGAAGAGGGGCACGTAGCACGGGCTATGGTGAGCCCGTAGTGGACTTACCTGGCACACGAGCGGTGCTGTGTGCTGTCCTTGGTGGTGTTTGGACCTCGACATGTCTAAACGTACAGGCTTCTTGTCCCCGAGAACGGAAATTATATCTTAATTTAAATATATATATATATATATATATATATGATCTTTGAAAATGTTTTTGTTAGCTTTAATATTACATTTCATTTATACATTTATTTGTACTTACGGGTTTCTAATCTCTCAAGAGTTCCTGCAACCAGGAGTTGTTACCTAGCAGTTAAATAGGTACCTGGGTGTTAGTCAGCTGTCACGGGCTGCTTCTTGGGGTTGGAGGCCTGGTCGAGGACCGGGCCGCGGGGACACTAAAGCCCCGAAATCATCTCAAGATAACGTGTAACGATACCATGTAACACAAGTGTTACATATATCGCTATACTTTTGTAGGGTTTCCGAATTATACGACGCTAATTTTAAAAGAAGTAATAGGAGAATATATAAATTTTGTCTATTAAAACGTTGGTCCAACAGTGGGTCGTCAGAGACTATCTAGTAGTCACTGGATCACCTGTATGCTTAAGGCAGCAAAATGAAACTTATATTAGTGCAAAAAACTAATCATAACGGTAATAATAATGATGATATTAGTAATAGTAATGATAATAATAATAATATATTTTCAGGTTTGATTAAAGTTTTTATTTTCATTACGAAAATTCTGGTCATAATTCATTTTCTTTGGGTGTCGACAATGTTTTTTTTATATCCTAATGTCATAACAAATAAATAGAACACTTACACAAGGATGCAGTTCTAAATGTAAATACGCTAAGAAAATGGTGCATAGTCATTGCTTTAAACCAAATACGTTTGGAAAAATGGATGGGGGTCGATCGAGCTTGTCCATGCATGTACATCTAGATAAGTACAAACACACACACATATATAGAATCAATGTTCAAATTAAGAATGAGTAGAACGAGAGGACATAATTGGAAAGAGGAAACACTGATGAGTCACAGATGTCAGAAAGAACTTTTTCAGTCTAAAGAGTCGTAAATAAGTGGGAGTTCGTAAATAAGTGATCTGGATGAGGAAGTTGTGGAAGCCAATTTGATACAGTTTTAAATATAAATATGATAAAAAAAACTAATAAAGTTTCTGCTTTGATCTAATGATGGCCAAAGGCGGGGCTTTAAGAGCAGGTGCTCCCCCCCCCCACTGCAAGCACAACTAGGTGAGTACAACTTGTTGACTCACCTAGTTGACTGGAAGTCACCTCACTCACCTTAAATAGGTACCTGGAAGTTAGGTAGCTGATACAGAGTGCATCTGGGTGTGTGTGTGTGTGAGATAAAGGAATATATAGTAGGTACATATCAAAAATGATAGAAAAATAGGTCGGAAATTAGTACATTAGGCAACTGGTGACTAGAAAGGCGCAATCCAAGAGGTATAGCTGAAAACATACATTAGCCAACCAGCAGCTGAAAAGGCTGGGTTCAAGAGCTGAAGCTCGATCCTGCATTTAGAAATTGGTCAATAGGTGGCTACACAGGCGCCTGCAAATAGACGCAGTTTTAAATGTAACAATTGCAACAAATTATGGCATAAAACGACTAATAACTCAAAAGTTGAGGTTTAAAAGATGATGTTCGATCCTGCTAGCACATCTAGGTGGGTACACTCACAAATTTGCGCGATTTTTCCCGCAGATAATTAAACCATCACAAAGTAACGCCCTAACTATACAGCCCCGTGCCCCAAATCCCACTCCCCCATCCCCCCCCCTCACACCCTTTTAGGCAATATCTCCTTTAAACCCTCCACGGTAAAAGGACGAGGCACTTTCTCTGGCTTTCTCTTTCCTCCGGAGGGAAAGTTATCCACCATTTCTTTTGCACCGTGTTCGTGTCGGGGACGATGAGCAGTTCTGAGCGACGCAAGACCTCGACTCTTAGTTGAATTCTGAATTGCAAGTGTAAGATATTGATGGGGGAATTTGGAGCTTGGAGAGAATGATGAGGGAGGAAGGGAGCAGGTGAGGGAGGAACGATGAAAAGGGGAAAGGGTGATGGAAAGAGGGAGAAATAGACGGAGAGAGATTGTTAATGAAATTATGAAAGTACAGTAATTATTATTGCGAGTAGTGTCAATATAATTTTCGGTATGTCAAGAAACTAACACAAATCACTAAGCCTTGACATATACTTTGTGGTTCATAGCATCTAGATACGGTTACTTTTTTGTCCTGAAATTATTAATCCTCTGTTAACTGTAAAGAGTTGAATAATACGCATATCTTTGGACTGTTGTTTATAGAGATAGTTGTTAGTGTGTTGGAAGTCCTCTTGTGGGTGGAGTTACAGTCCGTCGTATATCGTCGGTTTCTTTGGCAGTTCCATAAATCGTACGCTGTTGTCTTAGTAGCCTCGCTTCCTGCCCACCTCTTTCGTATTTTCTCTAAAGGCAGTCTAACACAACACAGTATTCTCCAGATTTTGAAAATCTAGCTGGAAAAGCAGTCTTAATGGAACTCGAACCTCTAATACAATCACCCAGAAACACTAGGCTTTCACAGTAATATGACACTCCCAAAGACATCTGTTGGTCACCATCTTTCGTGGTCGTACAGGTAATGGGAAGTCGTAGCTTGTGACGGGTCCCCACAACAAATGACAACAACAGTAATACCACACACATATCACCGCAAACAACCAAAACATCATTACCGCCGCCACAACCAGTAGCACCACCACCACAGGTTTACAGCACCACCACCACCACAAGTTTACAGCATCAACAGCACAAACACCACCACCATCATCGTCAACAGTGACACCAAAGTCACTATCACGATCAGTAAAACAAGTAACAGTGCTACCTACAGTGTCAACTCATACATCAATAGCCTAACCAACAACACCTTCAAGAACAGCAATACCATTACCACTAACTGCCTTAACAAGAACACTAACAACAACAATAATAACCGTAACACCAACAAGAGCTTCACGACCCTCACTAACAATAGCTACACCAATAAATAACTAATCAATACTAATACACCAATTAATAATACACCAGCTACGCCATACTACAACAATAAAATATACTTATCCCCGCCCTCAAACCACCCAAAGCCTCCTTAGGAAATAGAACATATTTGTTTACTATAGACTGAAGAATGCGAATAAACATAGTTTTACAAGAAAATATAACGGTTATAGTTAGCAAATATGTTAGATTTATACTTTACTTACGTAATTTAAGGAGGCTTTGGGGTGGCTCTGGGTAGCCTTGGCTGGATTTGAGTAATTTTGTGGAGCCTCACATTTGATGTGGTCGAGGATGTAGGTTCATTTACTAATGTTCAGCCACGTTACTGTGACTTACTGTCTGAATAATAACTTTAAAGCCACCATCAACAACACCCCTACTGTTATCATTAATATCACCACTACTGTTATCATTAATATCACCACTACCATCAACACCACCACTGCCATCAACAACAGCAGTATCATAGCTTTCATCACCAACTACATAAATAATATAAACATAAAATATACCAAAATTATCAACAGAAAAATCAACGAATCTTATCACCACCAGCAAACAACACAAATATCAATAACAATAAATAACGGCTTTATTGACAAAAAAATAATTACAATTTTGCCTAATCTGAGGAATTAAATTAAGTCTTATTAGTGTGAGGATAATGCTGTTATTAACTGTCACACAGGACAGAGGGCCATACACAAGACAGTAGATCTGAACTATAGACTGAAGCACATATATATATCATGGTTACAATGTTTCAATGTACGAATATGTAAATACAACTTTCTATTGTACACTGGCACACAAGGGCAGGGATAAACCCATCCCTGGGTAAGAGATGCAACTTAAAATAATACTAATAATATAAATCAAATGTATCTTCATTCTTTAAAATGGACAAGCAAATTTATGATAAATTGTTAGGATGTCGTCTAGTACACCAGATTTTTTTTTTATCTTTATTTAAGAAAATACAATATAAATTACATATACATAAGTTTTACAAGGCAATTATATATTACAATTCTTAGTGAACAAGTGTTTCAGTAGTACAGAATATAACAATATACTGTAGTTCTGGTGAATGTATTAAAGGTTTGTCACAGAGTATACAATGTGAGTAGTCTGGTAGTGGCTCAACCTCACTAACCTGCCAGATGTGGCTATAGCCAAGGCTAATACTGTACTCGCAATGACTACATCACATTGCCTGGTCCGGCTACTGTGCTGACCATACAAAATACCTATTATTATTACAAAAGTTGTCATAGCTTTTAATACTGCAGCTTTCAGGTCTCTGGGCATTTCTTAGTTCTTCTAAATCTGAATTATTTTTTTTTAATTTTTTTATTTCTAATAATTGCATTAGAGTCCAAAGTCATAATCAGTGTTTTCTTTCCTGCAAAACCTCATTGGCCAATCGATCTACAAAGTATGTGTTCCAACTCCAACATGGGATGTGATCCACACAAATTTTATACAATAGTTATTATCATTGGCAAAAATTACATTCCATTTAATATTATTACAAGCTACTTCAGACAAAAAGACATGCACAAACAAACATAATGGGAAAATAAAACTAAGTAAGTAGTATTTGAAGGTCGGTTTCTTGGACAAATCAAGACAACATGAGATATATATTTTTGTACAAATTCAATCAAACAACTTGTTTATTATTATAAAATTTGAGTGAGAAACATTTAACTGGTTTGGCTCACATTCTCCACTGATTCACGACAACTAGATTCAAAGTTTAAATTGGATTTGTCCTTACACTCATAATTTTTAGGATTTTTGGGGGATATGAGGCTTTTTGTGAGGTGCCTCTCACATGTGTTACACACATGTGCCTCTCATGTGTGTAACTTTTACTGGTTTGCCAGTTTGACCTCTCTCAAACTGCACTGCCATATCCGCTGCATTTTTGGTCTTGTATTCTATTAATGCTGTTCCTTTTCTATTTTTCTGCACCATCACCAGAGCATTGATGTCTCCCCACTTGTAGAAGAGTTGGTTAATTTCCTGCTGGGAATACCCTGGCCAATCGTCTGTTGACATCCACTTAACTTTAACTTTGTGACCCCGTGTGTCCATAGCTGGAGGTTCACTGCTTTTCGACCCTTTAGATGAACCCCGAAGAAGCTCTGCCCCTACTTCCCTATTTACTTTATCCAGTTCCTCCGCAATAAGTTGCTCACCCTCCTTGTCCAATCTTTTCAATTCACGTCGAAACTGTTCTTCTGACGTATCTTGCTGTTCCCTACTGCGTTGAACACGTCGTTCCCGTTCCTCCAAATCTGACCTTAGTTTCTGTGATCTGGTAACATGTTCACGGGCTCTGGCAGCTGCTGCTTTACGACTCTTGAGGGTCTTGTCATATGCTTTACGTGTTCCTGGATCTAACAAAATCTCAAGAATTTTCTTAAGTTTGTCAAATTCCTCAGCAGCAAATGGGTTATCTGGATTCTTATCCGGATGACATTTAAGAGCTCTTTGTCTGTACGATTTCTTAATCTCCTTTTCCTCGGCATCAATAGTTATCCCCAGAATTTGATAGAAGTCCAGTTTCGTGAGTTTCGTATTATGTTCCTGCGACATAACGTCCACAATGCGTCACTACCACTTTCACAAGAGCTAATATTTTTCGCGTTTCTGGAGAGAATGATCTCTGTCCTCAGTCATATGTAAAGACGCCAAACGTTAGTTAATTTATATCCTACGTACATCTCACTGGGAGGAGACATGTAGCATCTCTCTCAATGTAAAAACATAGTCCTGGAACCTCTGTTAATCATAATATATATAAATTATTTAGATTCAGGTTTGAACATAAGATCATAAGAATAAAGATCATAAGAATAATTATAGAGTTACGAGATACGAGCTAGATGGTGTTGAGATTGCGAAGTCGGATTGCGAAAGGGATCTGGGAGTTATGATTAGTAAGAATTTAAAACAAAAGGATCAATGCATAAATGTTCGTAATAAGGCAAATCGGACACTTGGATTTATTAATCGCAGCGTTAGTAACAAGACACCTGGTGTGGTTCTCAAGCTATATCTTGCTCTAGTTAAGAACATAAGAACAAAGGTAACTGCAGAAGGCCTATTGGCCTATACGAGGCAGCTCCTATCTATAACCACCCAATCCCACTCATATACTTGTCCAACCCGCGCTTGAAACAGTCGAGGGACCCCCACCTCCACCACGTTACGCGGCAATTGGTTCCACAAATCAACAACCCTGTTACTGAACCAGTATTTACCCAAGTCTTTCCTAAATCTAAACTTATCCAATTTATACCCTTTGTTTCGTGTTCTGTCTTGTGTTGATATTTTTAATACCCTATTAATATCCCCCCTGTTATGTCCATTCATCCACTTGTAAACCTCTATCATGTCACCCCTAACTCTTCGCCTTTCCAGTGAATGCAACTTAAGCTTTGTTAATCTAAGAACATAAGAACAAAGGCAACTGCAGAAGGCCTATTGGCCCATACGAGGCAGCTCCTATTTATAACCACCCAATCCCACTCATATACATGTCCAACCCATGCTTGAAACAATCGAGGGACCCCACCTCCACAATGTTACGCGGCAATTGGTTCCACAAATCAACAACCCTGTTACTGAACCAGTATTTACCCAAGTCTTTCCTAAATCTAAACTTATCCAATTTATACCCATTGTTTCGTGTTCTGTCTTGTGTTGATACTTTTAATACCCTATTAATATCCACTATGTAATATAATTACAAGTGGATGAATGGACATAACAAAGGAGATATTAATAGGGTATTAAAAGTATCAACACAAGACAGAACACGAAACAATGGGTATAAATTGGATAAGTTTAGATTTAGGAAAGACTTGGGTAAATACTGGTCTAACTATCGACCAATCGTCTATTGTAACTCGAATCTATAATAGCAAATAAAATTCGTCTTCATCTTGAAAAACATAAATTAATAATTGAGTCGCAACATGGTTTTATAAATGGCCGTTCATGTTTAACAAATTTGTTATCTTTTTATTCTAGCATTGTTGAGGCAGTTGATAGTGGTAAGGATTGCGATGTTGTATACCTTGACTTTAGCAAAGCTTTTGATACAGTGCCACATGAAAGACTGATTAAAAAGATAGAGTCTCATGGTATTGGGGGTGCTATATTAAGCTGGATTAGGGCATGGCTATACCAAAGGAAACAGAGAGTTAGTATAAATGGAATCAAGTCAGAGTGGGAAAATGTTGTAAGTGGAGTGCCTCAAGGCTCTGTCCTGGGACCTCTGTTGTTTATAATATATATAAATGATTTAGATTCAGGTTTGAGTAGCAACATTTGCAAATTTGCCGATGATACGAAAATCGGTAGGGAAATTAATTCGGAGGAGGACTCACTATCACTTCAAGTTGATCTAGATAGGGTTTTGAAATGGTCAAAGGATTGGCAGATGCAGTTTAATGCTGATAAATGTAAAGTTCTGAGGTTAGGTAATGATGATAGAGTTACAAGATACGAGCTAGATGGTGTTGTGATTGCGAAGTCGGATTGCGAAAGGGATCTGGGAGTTATGATTAGTAAGAATTTAAAACAAAAGGATCAATGCATAAATGTTCGTAATAAGGCAAATAGGACACTTGGATTTATTAATCGCAGCGTTAGTAACAAGACACCTGGTGTGGTTCTCAAGCTATATCTTGCTCTAGTTAGGCCCCATTTAGATTATGCAGTTCAGTTTTGGTCGCCATATTATAGAATGGATATAAATTCACTTGAACGTGTCCAGCGTAGGATGACTAAGTTAATTCCCCAAATTAGAAATCTTTCATATGAAGAAAGATTAACAAAGCTTAAGTTGCATTCACTGGAAAGGCGAAGAGTTAGGGGTGACATGATAGAGGTTTACAAGTGGATGAATGGACATAACCGGGGGGATATTAATAGGGTATTAAAAGTATCAACACAGGACAGAACACGAAACAATGGGTATAAATTGGATAAGTTTAGATTTAGGAAAGACTTGGGTAAATACTGGTTCAGTAACAGGGTTGTTGATTTGTGGAACCAATTGCCGCGTAACGTAGTGGAGGTGGGGTCCCTCGATTGTTTCAAGCACGGGTTGGACAAGTATATGAGTGGGATTGGGTGGTTATAAATAGGAGCTGCCTCGTATGGGCCAATAGGCCTTCTGCAGTTACCTTTGTTCTTATGTTCTTATGTTCAGTAACAGGGTTGTTGATTTGTGGAACCAATTGCCGCGTAACATTGTGGAGGTGGGGTCCCTCGATTGTTTCAAGCATGGGTTGGACATGTATATGAGTGGGATTGGGTGGTTATAAATAGGAGCTGCCTCGTATGGGCCAATAGGCCTTCTGCAGTTACCTTTGTTCTTATGTTCTTATGAACATTTCATTCCCTTTATATACTGCACATGCACAACCTGTTCTACCAGTGCCTAATTGCACAGAACCATCAATAAAGGCAGTAGGTATGAGATTTTGAGGATGATTGTCAATATCCCAGCGTCTGGGATGCTCTCGGACGCAGGTTCGAATCCTCGTCACGGCCCTTGTGGATTTGTTCATGATTGTCAATAGCTTCAAGTGCTATACATCTCATAGTTAGAACATAAGAACATAAGAACAAAGGTAACTGCAGAAGGCCTATTGGCCCATACGAGGCAGCTCCTATTCTATAACCACCCAATCCCACTCATATACTTGTCCAACCCGTGCTTGAAACAATCGAGGGACCCCACCTCCACAATGTTACGCGGCAATTGGTTCCACAAATCAACAACCCTGTTACTGAACCAGTATTTACCCAAGTCTTTCCTAAATCTAAACTTATCCAATTTATATCCATTGTTTCGTGTTCTGTCCTGTGTTGATACTTTTAATACCCTATTAATATCCCCCCGGTTATGTCCATTCATCCACTTGTAAACCTCTATCATGTCACCCCTAACTCTTCGCCTTTCCAGTGAATGCAACTTAAGCTTTGTTAATCTTTCTTCATATGAAAGATTTCTAATTTGGGGAATTAACTTAGTCATCCTACGCTGGACACGTTCAAGTGAATTTATATCCATTCTATAATATGGCGACCAAAACTGAACTGCATAATCTAAATGGGGCCTAACTAGAGCAAGATATAGCTTGAGAACCACACCAGGTGTCTTGTTACTAACGCTGCGATTAATAAATCCAAGTGTCCGATTTGCCTTATTACGAACATTTATGCATTGATCCTTTTGTTTTAAATTCTTACTAATCATAACTCCCAGATCCCTTTCGCAATCGTTAGTGTTATACAGTACATTTGTTTTACACTGATGGGGGTATAATGTAATGAGACCTGCACATCCTTCCAAGGGGGAATATAATGAACAGTTTTATCAGGACTAAGAGACACATTCAGTTTCACAAGATTATTGGCACAACAATTGAGCCACACACTGTAAGGAGTTTTTTTGCGGCGGATTGAGTGAACAGTCAGAATTGTTTAGAATGGATCTCAATTTAATTTGAATAGACCTGGAGGGGACCATTATTTTTCAAGATTTTTGGCACAAACCATAGTATTAAGCAGAATTATTCTACAACACTGCAGCCACAAACAATGTTTCTCCTTCCCACACCGCCGTCCCTCCCCCTCCTACACTACACGCGTGTCACATACACATTTCCCCCTCCCTCCCACACTACAAACTCCTGCTACAAGCCCATAAAGCTGTGAGAGGCACTGGTCGCTGCGACATTACCCGACCCCACCACCACCACCCAAAACTAGGGGGGTAGAAATAGCCTAAGCTACTCTATCCCTTTGAGATGTATTTATTGCTTATCTCAATAAACATACTTGAACTTGAACCACCCAAAACACTCCTCTTCATTAAGAACATAAGAACATAAGAACAAAGGTAACTGCAGAAGGCCTATTGGCCCATACGAGGCAGCTCCTATTCTATAACCACCCAATCCCACTCATATACTTGTCCAACCCGTGCTTGAAACAATCGAGGGACCCCACCTCCACAATGTTACGCGGCAATTGGTTCCACAAATCAACAACCCTGTTACTGAACCAGTATTTACCCAAGTCTTTCCTAAATCTAAACTTATCCAATTTATACCCATTGTTTCGTGTTCTGTCCTGTGTTGATACTTTTAATACCCTATTAATATCTCCCCGGTTATGTCCATTCATCCACTTGTAAACCTCTATCATGTCACCCCTAACTCTTCGCCTTTCCAGTGAATGCAACTTAAGCTTTGTTAATCTTTCTTCATATGAAAGATTTCTAATTTGGGGAATTAACTTAGTCATCCTACGCTGGACACGTTCAAGTGAATTTATATCCATTCTATAATATGGCGACCAAAACTGAACTGCATAATCTAAATGGGGCCTAACTAGAGCAAGATATAGCTTGAGAACCACACCAGGTGTCTTGTTACTAACGCTGCGATTAATAAATCCAAGTGTCCGATTTGCCTTATTACGAACATTTATGCATTGATCCTTTTGTTTTAAATTCTTACTAATCATAACTCCCAGATCCCTTTCGCAATCCGACTTCGCAATCACAACACCATCTAGCTC